CCAGAATCCTCCCCGCTACCTGTATTTTGGCTTTCCAGGTTTCTTAGATAGGGGAGGACGCACCTCACCTCTCCATTCCTGCCTCATCCATGAATAGCATTGCAAACAAATGAACAGAAAACCAACTGGGTTATCTTGGGATCTTTCATTTAAAATCAGGGCCTTCTGAAAGAACCAGTGGTTTTTAACCTGGGTGATTTTGTTTTTCAGGGGGGGCGATGGCACGAAAAGGGGCGACGTGGGGGTGAAGGAATGGAAGGGGGGTGATATGGGGGCGATGAAGCAAGAAGTTTTGGGGACGATTTTGAGACTTTTTTCGTACAGTGAACCACTGTATATCTGTCGTACAAAAACATCAGATCGCTCGCTATTTATTAGTGGATTGAACTGTCTTTTAAAATGTTCCTCCGGCTAGCTTCAGTACAGAACGCCGTACCTATGTGAATACGCATCGCTCATCTTCACGTGCGTTGCGCAGCAGCCTCTATCAGTCTACCCATTAAATCTGTCGCTCTGATTTTTGTTGCTTTCCTTCTGTAAAAATTTTCTTTGTGTCTTTTTAACCCTTTTTACAGTGTGCATGAAGATATATTTTCCTCAAATCTTAATTCGGTTTCAGAGTTTTCGTCTTGAAATTCTTAATTCCTGCATTGTGGTTTGTTCTTATGCCCTTTTTATATTTCTTTTTGTGTCTTAAAATTCACTTGTAATGAAATCATTAAATGTTACTGTTTTTTTCGGGCATTTTATTTTCTTGCAATTGAATTTTGTTTTCAGTGGTCATTGCATTTAAGTGTCTTGAATAAATAATGAAATACATGTATCCTTAAGTTTGGGAGTAAAGTGATGGGTGGCATCAGAATTTTTCACACAGTTGAGATATGGGAAAAAGACTGGGAATAAATTATTTGCATCGATATGTCCTGATGACAATTTTAAAGAAAACAAAAAATGTGTTTGCATAAATTGAAGAATTATTTCCCTGTGTTGTGATTGAGAGGTTTTGTTGGGGGAGGGGGCGATGATAATTTTGTCAAAGGCTGAAGGGGGTGATTCTTTCACAAAGGTTAATAACCACTGGAAAGAACTATCAGTACTTTCCATTAATCAAAACGAGGAACACTAAATGGTCCACCATGCTGCGAGATCCTCATTGCCATCCAATCCAAAAGGATTACGGTTGTTAAGTGAATCATTGTGGTTGTTCAATAACATGGTTAAGTGAATCTGGCTTCCTCCCCCCCCCCTACTTCGCTCATCAAAAGGTCGCAAAATGGGATCATATGACCCTGGGACATCGCAACTTGTCATAAATACGAGCCAGTCGCTAAACGTCTGGATTTTGACTGCGTGTCCGTGGGGATGTTGCAATAAGTCCCGCTTTTCAGCACTGTTGTAACTTCGAACGGTCAGTAAACAAACTGTTTCAAGTCGAGGACTACCTGTGTAGCGACTTGTGGGCTTTGTTCTTCCAGATTGTGAGTTACTTGGATTGAGAGTTTCAATTAAGAGGCTGCTTGCCTGTTGTTCTCTGCCACTTATGGCGAGGAAAGCATATAGGCTGTTCTCCAATTTCATTTTGAAAAGGCCAATATGGGGCTCCAGAGACCTGGCCAATGGCCTGAACGAGCTGCTAATATGCCGGAGACCATGTTCCACAATTTGGTACAAGAATATGTGGGCAACCTCTGCCCTCCAGATGTCAGCCGGTAAGCTCACATCAAACCTGGGCTGCTGCCCATGATGCTTGACCTTTGGAGGATGAAAGGCTGCCCTGGATTCGAAAATGCGTTGCCAAGGCCATGTGCGGCGGCTCTTCAATAAATAAGTCAAAAAAGAGAGATCAGAAGCTTGACCGCAAAGGGATAGGTGTCCGATTTAAAAAAAAAAAACCTAACAAAAACAAAAGTCTAGTAGCTGGACCTTCCCATGATAGATGGCTTCAAAAATTGTGGAAGAGTGACGACCGGTTGCATTTTGAGCAACCGTTACCATGGCTGATACGGCAACTCTTTGGCTCTCGTCATGGTTCCAGAAAAGATAGGGAAATATTGTCTGTTGTTAACGAGCACATAGAAATTGTAGAGAAATAGAGCAATTGTTGCTCCACAGACTTTAGAATGGAATACAATGACAACGTTGAAAGGGGCCTTGGAGGTCTTCTAGTCCAACCCCCTGTTTAGGCAGGAAACTCTATACCATTTCAGTCAAAGGACTGTCCAATCTCTTCTGGAAAAACTTTCAGTGTTGTTGGAGCATTCACAACTTTTGGAGGCAAAATTGTGTTCCACTGATTAGTTGTTTGAATTGTCAGGACATTTCTCCCTCAGTCCTAGGTTGCTTCTATCCTTGTTTAGTTACAGCCTTTTATTTCTGCTAATGTGCGGGCTATTTTAGGAGTGAAGGAGCTCTTTCCATTACATTTTATAGGAAAGGAGAAAGGGCTGAAAGTAAATATTCTTCCGGAAAAACATTTTGGCAAGAATATATACCGCAGCAGAGGATATGTTAGTCCTCAACGTATGATCAGAATTGAGCCCAAAATTTATGTTGCTAAGTGAAAAATTTGTTAAGTGAATTTTGCCCCATTTTACGACTTTTCTTGCTACTGTTAAGTGAATAATTGCAGTTATTAAAACAGTAACACGGTTGTTAAGCCATGTTGTTAACCTGGGTTCCCCATTGACTTTGCTTGTCAGAAGGTCACAAAAGGGGATCATATGATCCCAGGACACTGCAATCGTCATAAATGTGAGTCAGCTGTCAAGCAACTGAATGTAAATCGTGTGACTGTGGGGATCTTGCAATGGTCATAAGTCACTTTTTTTCAGTGCTGTTGTAACTTCAAATAAATCACTAAATGAACTGTTGTAAGTGAAGGACTACCTGTACTCTCTCTCCATTATTATTCAAGCCATTTCTGAGGAAAATAACTTTTTATTGGCCCCCCGTAGTTACAGCTTTGGTAAGTATGCTATTGTATTAAATAACACAGAGGTTTTGTGTGTGTAATTCAACTCACAACTCAGCTCTAATGTGTAAACAATTTGCCTAAAGAGAACAAGCCTCACGATAAATTCTATTAAAAGTGTATATATACAGAAGGGGAGCAGGAAAAAATCAAGGAATAATCCACAATTCAGCTTCCTTCCTTTCTTTTTTTATTTATTTCAGGCCTGTTTATATGTAAATCTGTTAAACAACCATTCATTTAGCTTTCCTTCCCCACCCTATGGAACAAATCTGTCGGTGGCAGATTCCCTCTTGGTCTGCTCAAGTTCCACCAGTAAACTGATAAATATGGCAAATTAACTAAAATGATTTCACAGTTTTTTAGCTGGAGGCTGATTTCATAGTAAATTAAACATCCAAAGAACTGACTCAGAGCTTTAAAAAAAAAACCCTCAAAAAATTATACTTGGATCTGCTCGCTTGGTTTACAAAGGCAGCTGAAGGATCAATTGGAAACAGTTGGTAGTATTTGTGACTGCAAATACATCTTCTTGGGTCAATAAAAATGTTTCTTTTGTTTTCAGTGAAGGAAAACAACCAACCACTCCTTTTATCATGTCTTCAATTCTTCATATGTGAAGAGGGAGTCCCTGATTTTGTAGTTAGCATTCCTGGGTCTGCAGAACACAGCAGTTAATCTCAAGGCGTCATTTCTTTAACCTTCCCTATTAATCTGGTATTAAGAACCATGATTTCTAAGTCTTGGAGCATAAGTCTTATTGGCCAACCTGTTCCCATTGATCTGAATCCTAGTCAGACTTGCTGACTAAGACACACCTAAGTAATCAGGGAAACAAAATTGAACACCACCAAGCTTAGAATGTAATGGATAAGCCACGAGA